GCAGAAACCATCTCGTGGTAGTGATTGTGACAAAGATGATGGCGAGTACACCCAAGTGCAACAGTGTCTGTGGCTGTACAAAGGAGAAGGTCACATAGTGTATGTACATTGTACTGCTGCACTGCGGTGGCAGAGGAATGATCTTCGACATAAAGGAGATTGCGGAGAGTTTGATGTGGCAGAGGAATGATCTTCGACATAAAGGAGATTGCGGACAGTTTGATGTGGCAAGAGAACAGCATCATAGAGTAAGAAATCAGTAATATCAATCATGGCATGGACCATGACACACCTCCCAATGGTCAGAGGCGTGTACAATAGCCATGTAATGGCCAGGCCCATGCACAATGCAGGCAGAGATGTGGGGTGGAGGATTAAACAACTCACCTGGTAGAGCATGGCGTAGTTCAAGCTGGCGGTTCCTCATCGCTATTTCTAGGACAGCAATGGTAAAACCTCCTTCCCTGGTGTAATTACGATGCTCTGGCTGTAGGTCGGGGGGATCAGCGAGATTAGCGAGATCAACATCAAGCTGTAGGGCAATTGCAAGGAAATCTGATGGTGTATACAACGGCCGACTGAAAATGTGAAGGCAGCTATCAGTTGCAGTCAGACCACAGAGATTGGCGGGGATCTCAGGCTGGTTTGATTGGTCAGTCATTTGTAGATCACCCGTGGGGTCTGTGCAGGGTGGTGCACAAGTATGCGGTTCATCCATATGATCCTGGTCAGCCATTTGCAAATCCCCCGTGTGGTCTATGCCTTGCGGGGTTAAAGGCAGTCCGAGCTGATCATGTTCCAGGCCCTCAGCGTTCGGGGCCACATGTTGTACAGCTGGGGGACAAATGAACATGGAAGGGCATAAAACATGGTGCTGTGGCTGTGTGCAAGCAGCTGGACTGTCTGCAGGAGGCATAGGAGCGGATGTATCCGCTTGGGACAACGGAACCGCAACAACCTGTGGAGGAGGCACAGAGAAAATTGGGGTAGACAAAGAAGCAGGCCGCTGATCCCTGGCCAAGTGGCGATGTTGTGCATGTCGTCGACGATGATACACAATAAGAGGAGTGGCGATGTTGCTAACAAAAGATGAGGATGTCACTGGCAATGAAGGCGGAACAATGGGAAGAATAGAAACCGGAGAATCGGTTCTCAAACGAGACAGTGGAGGAGATGGGGGTGGCGAGGAGGAACGCAGCCGTCTGCGGCCAAGCACAGAAAGGGATGAAAGGGGGGTGGATTGGGCAGGATGCCGAAACATAGGGCGCGAGTGTCGGGCTGGGGTAGAGGAAGCTATACCAGTAAAAACTATAGCATGAGAAATTCGAGCTACAGAAGCAAAGGAAGTGGTAAAAAGTGGAACCGCAGCAGAGACAAGTGTTGTAGTAGGAACCGCAGCAGAGGCAACTTCTGTAGCAGGGACCGCAGCGGCGGCAACTTCCGTAGCAGAAACTGCCGGAGTGAAACCCGGAGTTGAAACAGCAGCCGTAGAAACCGCAGCAGTGGAGACCACAGTGGTGGAAGCGGCGGCGGTGGGAACCGCAACAGTGGGAACTGCATTAGCAGCAGATGAACAAGCAGTGACAGGGANCGGCGGCGGTGGGAACCGCAACAGTGGGAACTGCATTAGCAGCAGATGAACAAGCAGTGACAGGGACCGCAGCGGAGGCAACTTCCGTAGCAGAAGCTGCCGGAGTGAAACCCAGATTTGAAACAACAGCAGTAGAAACTGCAGCAGTGGAGACCACAGCGGTGGAAGCGGCGACGGTGGGAACCGCAACAGTGGGAACTGCATTAGCAGCAGATGAACAAGCAGTGACAGGACGAGCGCGATGTGGGGATAAAGAAGAAAGTGGGTGATGCAAGGACCATCGCAGCATGCGTCGGAACCACTGAGAGAGACGGGTGACGTGTGTAGGATAGCGAAGTTGGCGGGAGCGTGTGTAGCAGGTCCATCCTTTAGCGAGGGTTGGTGGGGAATGGCCACGAGAAGTTCCTGCTACAACAGTTGTCTCTGCTGCGGTTCCACTTTTTATCACTTCCTCTGCTTCTGTAGCTCGAATTTCTCATGTTATAGTTTTTACTGGTATAGCTTCCTCTACCCCAGCCCGACACTCGCGTCCTATGTTCCAACATCCTGCGCAATCCACCCCCCTTTCATCCCTTTCTGTGCTTGGCCGCAGACGGCTGCGTTCCTCGTCGCCACCCCCATCTCCTCCACGGTCTCGTTTGAGAACCGATTCTCCGGTTTCTATTCTTCCCATTGTTCCGCCTTCATTGCCAGTGACATCCTCATCTTCTGTTAGAAACATCGCCACTCCTCTTATTGTGTATCATCGTCGACGACATGCACAACATATAGGGCAGTCAGCGTTCGGGTCCGGCCGAACTGCCGAACCCGAACGGCCAAACGTTTGGGCCCCCTTGGAGACCCGTTTGGGCGAACCGAACGCACAAAAAAAAAAAAAAAAAAAACGTTAAAAAAAATCCTGAAAAAAATTAAAAAAAACTATGTTATTGCGAGGCTCATGCCCCTATGAGTCCCTTCCAGGCCCTGCCAAGTATTACGTCGGCCGCCCTAAGTGAAGGCAGGCACGACGAGGGCCTGAGGGCCTCTATTTGCCCGAGGCAGCCTGTGTGAATGTATCGAAGGCAGGCCCTGGGCTGGATACGGGATGTAGGCCTAACACAGGCCGTCGACAGTTGGGTGCGAGCAACCACTACAGGCCCAGGGCCTGAGTTGTGTGGACTGGGCCTCAGCCTACCGGGGCCTACCGCGAGCGTCTTGGGAAAGGCCCAGCGCAGCCTGGGACAGCAAGCAGACAGGCCACTTCCATATACCAAAAAGGGCCTGCCTCCGCATTTGGGATTCGGGTGCTGGCTGCATGTTGCGCAAGCGCTGCTGCGCTGAAGCTCGCTGGCACTCACGCGCTCACGGGCGAGCAGGAAAGAGCAGGCAGCCATAGCCGAGCTGCGCTGCTGTAAGCTGGGTGTGGCGCAGGGTGGTCCTTGGGTGCAAGTGGCATCTGTGTGTTGGGGAACGAGGTTGTGAGTGAGGCGAGAGACATACCTGATGTTGGAAGCGTGCGACATTGGTCGCTGTACGCTTGTACTTCGGGAAAGCTGTTGTCGTCATCATTCGGCATTGTAGTCTAGGCGAGATACGATCTGCCATCTGTAGTCTGGGCGCCGAACGCCAGATAGGATATCAACATTGGTTCTTCATTGATGCTCATGATGAGACTTTACCAGCATTTAAAAGGGCCTTTACCCGATACAGCCCTTGATTGACGAAAGCAGCATATTGGGGTACCTCGCCCAGAGCCAATTCGTGAAAGCAGATCAAAAGACATTTTCTCTGGGTCAAAGGTCACATTCTAAACTAAAGCAAAAGACATTGTCAAAGGTCACGGTTGTGTCCCTGGACGAACAGATGCAATGTCTGAGTCACATCTGTCCATCCAGGGGGTGTACAAGTCATGACTGTTCCTACAGGGATGTGTCTGTACGTGCAGTCAAATGTGTCTGTTCGTGCAGTAAAGTGCCTGTTCGTACAAAAGATGTGTCTGTCTAAAAGGAAATCAAAGAGTTAAGTCGCAGTCTAGATTCGAGTCAGGGAGACAGTCTAGATACAGATAGGCAGTCCGAAATTAAGGCCTACAGGCCTCAGCAGCAACAACCCTTGAAGGACAAGGAGTCTGGGACACATACACAGGCTGGGACTGGGAAAGGACCCAAGACAGACAACATTCAGCCCTCGTTTGGGGAGGCCAGCACTATAAGAAACGAGACTGCCTCCCCACAAGGCAGATTTCCTCTGGCATTGATGCGTGGAAGTGCTGTGCACTTGTGCGCTAGCTGGATGGAGGGGCGCTAGCTGAAGTAGAGCTGCGCCTCGAAGAAGAGAGGCTGGGCGCTGGCTGCAGGGAAGCCATAGCTGTGCCAGCCCATGTTAGTAATAGAGGGTTAGTCAGTAGGATATCAGTGAGTGACATTCAAAGTAGATCTTCGTAGGTGAGAGTGTGGATGCTGAGAGGGAGAGAGAGAACCAAGACATAGACTAGAGAGAGAGGGAGAGAAGAGACCAAGAGAAAGAGAGAAGACAGGCAGGGAGTCTAGATATGGTGGATACTTACCTGCTGCGCCACACTGGAGATCTGAAGGAAGACGCTGGTAGAGCCAGGTCTCATGATGTTGTTTGATAAGAGAGACTTACCTGTTGTTGGCGCTGAACTCTGGAACTCATGATACTCTTGTATTCAATGACATTGATAATATAAGCTGCGCTACTGGTTCCTATCTCATCTCAATCTGGTTTTGTGTGAGACCATTTCGTACATGTGATGACATGTATGCATGCAGTGAGATGCTCTCAAGCAAGCTGTGAACAGTCCGGTTCCTTGCACATTGCCAATTATGAGCTCTTGGTGTCTTCTTATTTGGTGAAACTCGTGATGCAATTCTGCTGTTGGTTTGAGGTCACGACTATCTGGTCTTGTGTATATGATGCTGTTTGATTGCTGAAGTTCGCTATTGCTCATCTTCCTTGCAATTTGGTATCGGAGCTGTGGTACGATTGCGCTCATCTGGCGC